GTTTCAATCAAAAGAAAGAAGGTAAAGAACTAAAGGAAAACAAATAGAAATCGAACGAAGATCCCAGAGTTCGATCAAGAAGAAGAAGAGGAATCCAAGGCTCCTTGCGGGTTTCGCGAACCCAGCAACTGGGTTCCTCTGGGTTCCGCGAGGAACCCAGATTTGGGACTGGGTTTGCGAAACCCAATAGCTGGGTTCACGAAACCCGTTACTGGGTTCTGCGAGGAACCCAGATTTGGGTTTCATGAACCCAGGTCTTGGGTTCCTCATGGAACCCCCTTGCTGGGTTCGCGGAGGAAGAAGGTTAAGAAAGAGGAAAGGGCGAAGGGATAAGAGAGAAGAAGGGAGGAAGAAGAAAAAGAATATAATAATAATAAATTATGTGAGTTTTTATTTAAATATGAAAAAAAATATCACATGAAAAAAGAAAAATGCCATCAAGTTTGTTTTAGTCCACATCATCAATTTTTTCCATGTGGCATTCTATTGATTAGCGTGTAATGACACGTCAACAATGAAAAAAAGAAAACAAAATATTTAACAGATTATAGTGTCACTCTGTCACTTAACTGACGGAAGGACCAAAAAGGGGCTAGATTTTGAAATTTAAGGACTAAAAAAGAGATTTTTCGGTACAGGAATCAAAAAAGAGTTTTTTCCTATAATAGAGGGCCCAAAAAGGGTATTTAACCTATCAATTATGGTGTGGTTCGATTGTACAGTGACCACGCTGGATATTTAGAGTTAGGTACTACAAACGCGTATGAGCTCATCCATTTTCCCGAATTAAATTGAAATTACAATAAAGGGTAAGAGCACGTGCGTACTGTATTGAAGTGTGATTTTGGAAATAGGGATAGGTGAAGGGTATCGTGGGAAGAAAAAGTTAACAGTTTTGGCATTTTGGGAAACGTCGATATCAAAAGATTTAATGTTGACATGTAGACAGAAGGAAGAATTTGGAGAGGGATTGGATTCCCCTCAAATTGTTGAAGGAAAAATCAAACATGCTTCCTGGCTCTTGGCCGTCCAGTAAATGGAATCAGCGTTTAAATTTGAATTTGCAAAGAAAATATCAATTTTAGTTGGGCAAAAAGCTTTCTTAAGTTTTCAAATTTACCTCAAAATACCACTTAAGTCCCTAAACTAAATATAAAGCAGATAAATCCTTCAACTCCACTAATAATGCAAATAAACCATTCTCATTCATGGATATTCATGCTTTCAAGGTAATATTAAACATGAAACACCATTTGGCCATTTTGTGAAAAGGATTTATTTGCATCATAAATGGAGTTGGAGGGCTTATTTGCTTTGTTTTTGGTTTAGGAGTTTAAATGTTATTTTGGGGTAAGTTTAGTGACTTAAAAACGGTTTTTGCCTTTGAGTTGGGTTGATATTTTCTTGTTGGGTTTGGATTTTTGCAAAGAATCTGCACATTAAATTGATAAGAAATGGGTTTTTTAACTATGAATTTTTTAAACTTGTATGATTAAAGTCTAAGAAATCTATTTTTAGTTATAAATTTATGTTAAAAGAATTAAATTGATGAAATAATTATTAATTATTTAATTAAATTTATTTACATATATGTTTCCCCAAAAATCCTTAGCTGGCCTTAACCACATGAATTCGGGTATTAAGCGTGTCACTTGTTTTGTCCAAAACAAAAAAATAGGATTTTCCAAACGACCATTCTCTTTTCCAACGGTCAACCTCCAAAAGGATAATTGGAAAGAACATTTGTGAAATAAACTACGCCCCCAGACAATGTTACAAAACAGAGAGTAGAGTTCTGCATAATGGGTTATTAATTGCCTTGGAAACCTCCAAGGACTTCACAACCACAAAAGTGTAATAAAAGTTACAAATTTATCTGAAAGTTAAAAACATGCTCTGGGTAGTGTGTGTAGGGACAGGTCGTCTGGAACTGATTTCTTCTCCTTATTTTTCTTTCCTTCGATGCTGGGAAACCTTCTCCATATTTCTCAACCCTCTCTCTCCATGGCTGAGTAATGGGGACTCCACGTCTGGCAGTTGTCTAACAATTTTTTTATTTTTGGTTAAATTTTATCTTCATTAAACCCTGAGGATAACCTACTCTTAAAAACTCTCAACTTCCTCTTTAAATCAAACTCTAACACCAGAGCCCAACTTATCTTTTGCCACTTAAACTCCAACCTCCCTGAAAATCCGTTTGGGCCATTTAATTTCAAGTTAACCCAACCCAATTCCACCTAATCCAACTTAATAATTTTCCTTAAAAGATTGGGCTTACTCTTAACACATGGCTTTATCTTATTGATTTATTTTTAAGGTGTAAACAATATCTATGACACTAGATTAATATTATTTTTTTATTTTTAATATAAAATTATAATAAAAAATATTCTTAATTTGTATGTTTTGAACACATGTTAAAAAAAAATTATTATTAAAAAAAAAAGGCTTTTCAAGTCCATGAGAAAGTTTTCTGGTTGGTTTTGGATTTTTGTAAAGAATCTGATCGTAAGTCCATAAAAGATGGGCTTTTCAAGTCCATGAAAAAGCTCTACTGCTTTATTGGAGCCCATGACTCTGACTTTCCAAGAGCAATCCAGCCCAATTAGCATTCCTTCAAAACATTTGCTTTTTGGTTTATAAAAAAGGCAGCAACTACAAAACAGTTTTTGTCTGCAGTCATAGCCTTTTTCGTCAGTTGGGGGCAAACATAGACCTAAAATGTAAGGATAGGGAAAATCAAATTCACATCCTAAAGTTGTTCTTCTTCTCTTTTGCTAATCCAGATAGAAACGCTATACTAGAATTTTGTAATGAGTTTTTTTTAATATGTGTTTTAAAAGTAAATATTAAAAGTATGTTTTTGTCACAAATATATAAAAAGATGTTAAAATTAATATTAATTTTAATATTATTGATAAATAAATGAATTTAATTAAATAATTAATAAATTAAAATTTAATTTTTATTTTTTAAATATAAAAATATATTTATTTCAATTTTAATTTGTATTCTAAAAACATCGACTAGAAAAAACCTTTTTATAATAACACCAATCCAACTTTTAGAAAATTCGATCATACTTACCAACTTGTAGCACTTCGTAGAGAATAAGCAATTAATATATAGATGAGCAGGACTCCATGTGAAACAAATCAAAGATCATCTTCATAAAAGCTTTACATATTTTAGTGCAATTAATTATAATCTGCCTGGCCTATCTTTCGTTGAATGTGACACAAACATAGTGCGTCCTAGAAACATTAATTTGAAACAGCCGGACCATATTGGACCCCAGAACCAGCTTTCCACTACCCTCACGGACAGTGACACACACAAAATTGTGGACCAAATTAATTCCATGCCACCGCCCAACTCATACCGCCATTTGTGCCCCGTACAAATGGGATGAAAACTGTATCATACTGTCCAAAGTCCAAAAATGCCGATTCCCCTTTTCACCATCCAACCCTTCCACAGTGCTCTGCAGCTTATCATTAGCTTAATAAAAGTAACAAAGTCTTCAAAAGTTTTTTTTTTTTTTTTTTCTCTCGTGTGATATTCCGAATTAATTTACAGAATTTATATTTGCTTTAAACCATGGATATTATATATTTATTATGATTAATCTCATGAAGTACCAATGAATCATTACATCTGCAAGTATTAAGTTTCAACTTCAAAAATAAGACTTGGGTATTTGGTATATTGTAATGTTACCATATTACTTAAAAAAAGAAAGTTTAATGTGAGTGGTATAAGGTGTTTGGAAACTAACTACTGCTTCACTTATTATTACTTAATTTTAAATTAGATATAAAATTTATGTTAAAAGTTACACATTAATTTTTATATGATATTAAAATCTGAACTAGAAACCTATTATTAATCTACTTGATAATACTTGAAATTATACTAAATATAGTATTAAATTATGTGACAGAATTTAATATTTATATTTAGCTTATATATAAAGAGGAGTATTGAATTAGAAAATCACATATCTAATATATATACATAAACATATATTTTCAACACAATGTGGAGTGGGCTTCAGTCAGTCGTTTTACATATTCTACGGACCTGCCCTGCATTCAATGGAAGCTGTTCATAAATAAATGGTATAACAATGACAAAGCTGTTCATTACATGTTAAAAGTTGACGAATTTATGCAGGATGTTGTCTGAAATTTGGTGCAGCCTTTAACCAAGATCACATTCTCGAAAATCCATAAAATGTTTCAGAAATTAGGCCATGGAAGAATGGTGTCGGCAAGCGGCGACCGAAGCAGCTGGTTTTGCTGTCCTGTCATCAACTAGGTGAATTCCAAGCAATTCAAAAACCCAATTAGTACAGCTTTCTCGACTGAAAAGGAACTGTCTCTGAGCTTGCAAGGATGGGACGAATGGATGGGCCCAATCAGGAAAATAAAAAGACAGGTCCTGGGCTGTATGATGGTCCTGAATTTTCACGTGCCTTGTTGTTGCTTTATGCGCCATATCATTGGTCGTGATTCATTATTGTTATGGACAAAGCAAAGAATCTCTAAGACAACTGTGCCACGTTGAAAGGCAATTCTCATCATTAAATAATGTTTGTAATTATAACAATTTTAACCACTCGTACATTATAATGTCCAGAAGTGACCCCAGGGATATATAATCAATCAGTTTAAAGTTTAATGAACTGGGCCTTCGGTGCAATAATTTATTTTCAAGTCTTTATAATTAGGTTTAGTTGGTTAGGAGTTAATTCCCATTAATCATTTAAAAAATAATTTTTTATTTCTTAAAATTCTTTAATGTTAAAAAAAATTAAAAGTTTAATAGTTTATTTTAGAAATTTTAAATTTAAATTTTAAATAAAATGAAGAGATTTAAAGAAAATAAAAGGTTAATTCTTTATATTATAATTTATTATTAAATGTATTAAAAATATTTTAAAAAATATTATTATTTAATTAATTAAAATTTTAAATAATTTAATGATAATATCTTTTAATTAAAAATAAAAAAA